TTGTTCCTTTTGCGTCATCTTGCAGGTGTTGAATTGTTATTTCCTGATTTCTTGTTATTTTTAAAAGATCTTTTCTTTCCTGTTCACCGGCTGCAATCTTGTCTTCAAGGTCTAAAATTCTATCTTCATATTCATTGAGGCAGTTTTTACAACTTTCGATGGAGTTTTTGATTTCCTGTATATCTCTTTGCATCTGCTTTATATATTGTTTGCTTCTTATATTGTTCATCCAGGGATTCTTTTTATCTCCTCAAGTTTTTTAACTGTGTCTTCTTTAGATATGTTCAGCATCTCCTTCATTTCTTTTATCATTTCTTCTTTTACCTGAGAGATTCTTTCTAGTTTGATTTCCTTTAAGGCCTCCCAGAGTTGCTTCTTTATTTCAGTTACTATTATTTCAGGTATTTCAGGTATGTGGCATATATTTTCTTCTATGCACATGGCTCCTAGGCTTTCTTGGGATGGGCTGGATATTTGAAATTGCATTTTGGTCTTTCGTTTTGTCATTTTCCTATATTTTTGCACTTCAAGTTTTGTTCCAAGTGAGGTAGAGAGGTCAGCAGGACAGAGGTCCCTGCTCCCTCCTTACTCACTGATTTCAACAGGAAGCCGAATCCTGGGCCCCAGGCAAAGAAAACAGTTTGCCAGCCTTGGGCGGGGTTCCTTGCCTCCGCTGGTCTTACAGGACCAACAGGGAGCTGGAGGAGCCCAGCCTGCAGGCAAAGAGGAGAGTTCCACGCCTCCGCTGAACTTATTCGACCCATAGGCAGCAGGATCCTGGACCCCAGGCAGAGAAAACAGTTCACCGGCCTAGGGCCTGTAATACGTTTTAAGGGCAAAGGGACAGAAAAAGAGTCAGAAACAAGGAAAGCAGTATCTTCAAAAAGCTAAGAAGACTCACATAGCCTTATGACCTATCCTCAAAGTCTTATAATGTACATATCCCATATTTGATAGATTGTATATACAAATCACCTCTGAAATAGGTTAACAGGAAAAGATGCTGACCCGAGTAAGATTAAGAATTAGTGAGTCTGCAACATTAAGACAAAAGAAACTGTATATAATTTTGGTACTCTGGCTGATAAATTTTTCCTATAGGGCATAAGTCAAAAACTCTGATAGGGTTATACATGTATACAAGAATTTAAACAGATGGTGAACAGTGGAGGTATTTACAAACAAGGGGAGATGCTAGACTGCAGTGCAATAGTTTAGAGCTGCAGACATCAATGTAAACTTGTTTAGGTAAATAAAACACAGAATGCTACATGCAAAAATATTTATACATGTTACTTACACTGGTTAGTACACACACATATATTATCCTGCTCAAGTTGAGAGCATCCACAATCAACAATCCATAAGGCAAAGACAAAGGGAAATTTCTAAACATTTGAAAATAAACTTACAAAAAACAAGTGACTTAAAAAAGTCTCAAAGAAATAACTATTAAAGTTATCGTTCAATTATATTACATTTTATTATATATTACTAATTATATTAATTATATAAGAATATATTTATTTTAAATATTTAAAATACCTAGAGATAAATAACAATGAACACAAAATACCACACATCAAAATTCTTAGGATGCAGTACAGCAATGCTAGGAAAAAACTGAATACTACTAAGTCAAACATTTAAACGAGGAAACAGTAGAGATAGAGATGTAGCTCAGGGGTACAGCACTTGCTTATCATATGTAAGGCCCTGGATTTCATCTCTATCCCCAGCACTAAAAAAAAAAAAAAGGAGGAAAGATAACAAGTCAATGACCAAGCAGAAATTTTTCCAGATACCCAAGATTGGTTAAACATTAAAAATCAGTCAATGTAAGCCACAATGTCAAAGAAAAGTCATGTGATCATATTATTTATGTTCAAAGTGAATTTTGACAAAAGCCACCTCTAGCCATGACTTAAAGCCTGCCAATATACTACAAATAGAAAACTTTTTCAACCTACAAAACCTATATCTTGGGCCAGGCATGTAGCTCAGTGGCGTAAGTGCCTGCTTGGCAAACACAAGGTCCTGAGTTCGATTGCTGATAACCAAAAAAAAAAAAACTACTGCTACATTAGATGTGGTGGTGTGCTCAAGTAATCCCAGTATTCTGGGAGGCTGAGGCAGGTGAGTCCCAAATTGAAGTCCAGCCTGGGCAATTTAGTGACTCAGCCAGACCATGTCTCAAAATAAAAAAGAACTAGGGGTATAGCACAGTGTCAAGGCCCTCGTTCAATTCCCAGTTGAGGGTGTGGGGAAAGGTAAGAGGACAGTCTGCAGCTAAAATTACAGTTAATACTGAGAGACTGGATGCTTTTTAAGAGCAGTACCAAGGCAAAGATTCGTAGTCCCATTGCTTCTATTTCAGTCGAAATCTTAAAACAGACATAAATGACTATTATGATCTCGTTAGTCAACAAAGATGATGACTCTAGCAAACACAGCCTGAAATACTACTAAACATAAAACAGATTAAAAGCCTCTACAGTTGATGTGACTATACAGTTAAGATGAGAAGTTTGAGCCCAGAGTGGGTATTTTATCAAGTTTTCCAAGGCCCTTTCTCAAAGTAAAAAGGACTAGCCATACAGCTCAGTATGAAGGCCCTGAGTTCAATTCTCAGTACTGAAAAGAAACCTTTTCAGACCAAATATAAATAACATGAAATTAAACTTACCACTTGAACCATTTATAACTGTACAACTCAGTAACATTAAGTTCCATGAAAGATTATGCACCCATCACGGCTATCTATTTCCAGAACAGAATCTCTGGACCCATTAAGCATTAATCTTCCCTTACAACTCACCCCTGGTTCACGGCAGGTTCTAGTCTACTTCCTGGGTTTCAGTGTAAGCTATTCTAAACCTTAATGATTGGAACCATGAAGTGTTTGTCCTTGTGTGTCTGGTTTACTTAATATGCTTCCAAGTTTCTCGGTGCAGCAAGTATCATAATTTCATTATTTAACCAGTTGAACATTTTGTTCCATGTACTACCAGTATATATGCACTACTTGTGGAGGGACATCATCTTTTGGGCACTGTGAGTAGTACTACTGAACACTGGTGTCCAAGTGTCTGAGTCCCTGTTTCCAATTCTTTCGGGTATATACCCAGGAGTAGAACTGTTAAGTCATATAATTCTACACTTAACTTTCTGAGGGACTGCCTACAATGGCTGCACAATTTCACTTTGTCACCAGCATTAGATGAGAATTTTGATTTAGTCACATTCTCAACAACTGTTGTTCTTCTTTTACCTTTGTAAACAACAGTCATCCTAGTGCATGTACAGTGCAATTTTCATATGGGTCTTAATTTGTACTTGTCTAATAACATAATTTTTAGTGTCTTTTCATATGTTCACTGGCCCACTACTTAACTCCTTTGTGAAATGTTTGTTCAAGTCCTATGTCCACTTTTTAACTGTATTGTTTTTTTTTTGGTTGTTGAATTGTAGGAGTTCTTTATATATTGTCAATGTAAATCAACCTTTATCAGATAAAACAATTTCAAATACTTTCTCCTACTGAGTTGCCCTTTCATGCTGTTGACAGTGATCTTCGAACTAACATTTTTCTAAGATAGAAACATGTAAAGTATGTCTCTGTAGAAAACTGAGTAACATAGAAATGCAAATTCTCTCAAAATAACTATATAATTAAATGCAATTCTAGGTGGAATTTCAACTAGTTTACTGAAAATTGGGTAAAAATGAAAGTCCAGAGAAAATGATTTGACAATAGTAGGAGAAATAGTGGAAGTATTTACCTCTTTATCTTATCTCAGCCCACACTATAAATTTATAATATAAAAGAATTGTATTAACATAGGAAGAAACATCAAAATTATACTGAATTATATGAGAGTTAACACATGACTATCACAGTACAATCAGAACAGACCACATTAATAAATGGACTCTGCTACTAATCATCTGGAAGAAAACAAACGATTATAAGGTATATCCTTAAACCCATTCTAGATGGATTAGACTTAAATTTTTAAAAATTAAGAGTAACAATCTAAGTTATTACATATATCAATAGGGTAAAGACTTTTTTATCACAACCACAAAAATCATGTATTTGATGATTTTAAAATGTTACCCATTTATGGTTAAAATATAATACTCAAAACTGAAAAAACATGTCTCATAAACTACAAATGGTTATAGATATGCAAGTCAAATCTCCTAGGAAAAAACAAAATAGACAAATGACATGGATAAACAATCACAGGTAAGTCACATTATTAGATAAATGCAAATTCTAAGAACCATGTAAGCAGACACTCAAATCCAGTAACAATCATGGATACTAAAGTAACAATGAGATCACTACAGACCAATTGAACTAGCAAAATACAAAATAGTCTATCTGGTAAAAAGCACTTTTATCATTATTTGTGTGCGAGAAAATTTAACAGCCTCTTCTGAAGCCCTTAAAGACACAAAAACATACATATATGCTGTAATTTTTTCACTTATGTGCTTTAATGAAGATGTTAAAATGACCTGAACAGGATGACAGGAGCAATGCTCAGACCCTTCTTTTAAATCTTTGATTCTTTCCTCAAATGGAATAATATTCTTTAACTTGAAAAATGAACGTAAACTTTTTTTGTCTTTGAGACAGGGTTTTGACACAGTTTAGGCTGCACTTGAACACATTATGTAATCCTGGCTGAATTCAAACTCGAGATCTCCTGCTTAAGCCTCTGCAGTACCGGATTTGCAGGCAGCATTACCATACCCAGCCTTGAAGATAAAACTTTTATAAGCAACTGTCTATGCCATTACTAAACAAAATGGAGCAAAGGGAGAAAAAACAAATACAGCACTAATCATAGACTTGAAAACCAAAAATCCATGGTCATCCATGGTCATAATTCTACCAAGGCTGATCCTGACCTTGTCACTTGAACCTCTGGCATTTCAGATTTTGTCATTATATCCAGGCAAATAATACCCATGGACATGCTACCAACCTGATCTGCTGGCAGCTTCACTTGGCTCTATAACACCTTGCAGAGAGGCTTTCTTCCTCGATGAAAATGGCAACGACTTCCTCGATGAAACTGGAAATGATATCTGGCACTGAGCACAGAAGAAACACATTATACGTACTTCATTAAGTTATCGATTGATTTTTAACTCATTTGTTTTTAAAACAGAAAAAATATTTTAGAACAACAAACCATCTGTTAATGTAAAGTAACCACTGACAGGAGACTGAATAAACATGGTAGAGTAGATATTGTCATACATTACCAAATATACCATAGTGAAACAAACGAGTGACACCAAAAAATGACTATCTTAACTTAAAAAAAAAAAGGCAAGTTGCAGAAATACCTAATAATCCCACTGCTATCAATTTCAAAGTAGACAGAAGGAGATTCAATTCAATACAATACAGTACTGAAGAATTTGTCTATGCAGTAAAGTGTTAACATAAAGTCTTGATCATTTGAAGGGCCCTTTTACAAAGCTAACTCTTGCCTGGCATCTGAAAACTTAGTAAATCAAAGAATATAAGCATTATCTAAAAACATGCATTACTTAAAAATAAGCATTATTTAAAAACTTAACAAGTCAGGACTTGAAGAAAGAAACAGCAGGCTCTACCACTTTTCACAATTACCTTGTGGAACTAAATGAACTTTTAATAACAATAATTTTTGATGCCAAAAATTATTCTGCAACAAATGAAAATAAAGATAAAACACTAAATCAATATAAACTGGATTTTTTAGTACAATGACAAAGAACCATGACAAGACCAAAATAATAAATAAAAAGAAATATGCTGAATACAAAGAAATGACTACAGACGAAGGATCACAACAGATCACTATACACCAAACTGAAAATACAGGAAAATGATGCTTCAAAAACATGTAAAGTGCCAAAATTAGCAAAAGAAATAGAAAAAAATTAATAGCTAACCATTAAATAAAGTCCTAATCACAAAAGGAATGCGGCAAAAAATCCCCAACTACATATTTCACAAATAATTTAAAGGAATGGGTCATTTTTATTTATTAATACTATCCCAAAATGCAGGAGAGACTAAGTTATTTTATTACGCTGAGTTGTATTTCAGTTAAAACTTAAAATATCACATCTTGCTTAAAGAAACACAAATATAAGCTGGATGTGGTCAAGTAAGCTTATAATCTCAGTACTCTGGGAGGCTGAGGAAAGAGGATTCCAGGTTTGAAGAGGCGATTTAGTAAGAGCCTATCTCCTGTTTCACATATAGATAGGCACAGTAACCAAGTCTAGAAATTTAAAGTTCTCAAAAAGAAAATCTTGTAAGATATATAATCTTAGGTCTAATTAACCTAGCTTATTATTAAATCAAGTAAACAGCTTTCATTTCTATATGGAAGACCGTGGTAATGTCTGTAGGATAGAAAGACCCTATCTGGAAAAACTAACACATATGGTTTCTACTGTTTGGGAGTACTCAACAGAGAAGAAAAGTTAATATAAAAATAAAAATAAAGAACATAAAAAGAGCCAAGCATGGTGGCACACTCCTGTTTTATTCTAGCACTAGAGAGGCTCAGGCAGGAGGAGGCCTGCTGCAAGTTTGAAACCAGCAGGACTACAAAGTGAGCCCAAGCCAGCATGAACTGCATAAAGAGACCCTATCTCAAAAAGACAAAGAATAAAAATAAATGAAATAAAAGAAAAATAGTGAAACTAAAATAAGCATATGAGAGAATCAACAGAGCCAAAGTTCATTTTTCTGAAAGAACAAAACTAAAAAACCCCAAGGAAAAAAAATAAGACATGAACAACCAATGTCAGCAATGAAAAAGGATAATAGATTCTTAAGGCACTAACATGATTATAGAAATACACTACCAACAACTTCATCCAAAAAAAAAAAAAAACCAGAAAATTCAAATGATCAAATTCCTCCAAAAAAGAAACAGAAGATGTGAATTATCTACAAATAGAATCTTAATCCTTCATATTTTATATCTTCCTCTAGATAATGCTTAACCAAATGCCCACTTAAAATTTGTATATACTATTATGGTATATTAAATAAGGAAAACAGTGAATTCACATTTTAAAGCTTTCCCAAAGAAAAAACTCATTGTAAATGCTACCAAATATTTAAGGAAGAAATCCATCTATTTTATAAGACATTAGGATAACAAAAATAGCAGAGGAACTCATTTTAGAAGCCCAGGACATACAGCGAAACCTTTATTTTTCAATGTATCTTTTGTGTGTGTGGTGCTACAGATTAAATCCATAGCTTGGCACATACCAAACAAATGCTCTACCACAAGCTACGACAAAAACAAGCCTGCTGCAGCAAACACACTTTAGGTTCGCTACCACTGCACTTATTAGGAACCAAGTGTGATCTACCTAAAATACTTTTTAAAACACACAAAGCATACAAAATTCTCAGGAGACCTGACATCAAACAGTGGACACTCATCCTTGAGAGATGGGAAATAAATGAAGCAAACTATCTGATCTCTTGAGCTTACAGGTCATGGTACAAGCAGGAGAAATAATCAGTTGAGGGACCAAGGTTGGGCATGTGAGGTAAAGGTGGTCAGAATTTGCAGGGTGAAGTAATGGACAGGTGGAGGCTACACCAAGTAAAACTTCACACGTGCAGAGAGCTCCCTCAAGCACCCCTGCAGACTGACAGGAGCATGCACATGAGATACCCTGCAAGGCCAGAGAAAGAACGATGAAACCTAAGGGGGAATAATTCTCAGTCACATAGAACCTTAGAACAATGCTTACACCTACTAGGCAAGGGTAAAACCTCCATGAGTCATGGTACTCCGAGTAAAAAATAGGTTTTTACCTCAGAAGTAAAACCAGCCATAGATTACATGCTGCTATCCTTATTTCCATAGCTCTCACTATTTCTAACAGTAGATTATACCTCCATTTTGCTTTTTTTATTACCTATACAGCAAATGTGTTGGCTTATAAGACTTATTACATCCTTTATAGAAGAGGCACCTCTAGCATAACCAAACAATAAAGAACATGTAAAGAAATAATGGCTATTTTTCATGAACACACACAGATTACTAGCAAAGCTGATCAAAGTTATCAATTCATGAAGTCAAGTTTATCCCAACAAACTTAAAGTTGATTTAAACGTTAAAATTAAAAAATCACTGAAATTTATCACCTCAATTCTCAAAGAAATGGCTCTGCTTTATTTCCTGAAACCAAAAGGACACATATAGATTTAATATGCCAATTGCTTGTTTACAGGTTGTTCCCGACTTTTATTTGGTTTCTCTAGTTAGTATTGTGCTGTTAATCTGCCATATTATCAAGAAGTTTGTACTCCATGATCAAGTGCGATTCATCCCAGGGATGCAGGGATGGTTCAACATAAGTAAATCTATAAATGTAATATATCATATTAACAGAGCCAAGGACAAATATCATATGATCATCTCCATAGATACAGAAAAGGATTTTGACAAAATCCAGCACCCATTCATGATAAAAACCCTACAGAAAACTGGAATAGATAATCTTTATCTCAATCTGATAAAAGTCATCTATGACAAACCAACAGCCAACATCATACTAAATAGACAAAAACTGAAAACTTTCACTCTAAAATCAGGAACAAGACAAGGATACATCTGCACTGTCCCCACTCCTACTGAATATAGTCTTGGAAACTTTAACAGAAGCAATTAGACAAATAAAAGAAAGATAAGAAAGGAAAAAGTTAAAACTATCATTATTTGCAGATGACATGATATTCTACTTAAAAGACCCCAAAAACTCCACCAAAAGATTTCTAGATTTAATAAGCAAATTCAGCAACAGAGGTGGTTACAAAGTCAACACTCAAAAATCAGTATCCTTCCTGTACGTGAATAACAACTCACTCAGAAATCAGGGAAACAGTACCTTTTACAACAGCATCCAAAAAAATTAAATACCTAAGAATCAATCAAACAAAAGATGTAAAAGACCTCTACATTGAAAACTATAGTACTCTGAAAAAGGAGACTGATGAGGATATGAGAAAATTGAAAGCTAGCCCATGTTATTGGGTAGGAAGAAACAATATAGTGAAAATGGCCATACTTCCAGAACTGTTAAACAGATTCAGTGCAATTCCAATCAAAATTCCAATAGCATATCTTACAGAATTAAGAGAAAATAATCTTAAAATTCATTTGGAATCAGAAGAGACCTAGAATAGCAAAGGCAATTCTGGGAAACAAAGACAAGACAATCTCTGAGCTGAAATTACACTATAAAGCTACTGTGATAAAAACAGTGTGGTACTGGCAAAAAAACAGTCCTGAAGATCAATGGAATAGATTAGAAGATGCAGAATAACTGAATACAAACTAAGCTACCTTTTCTTTGGCAAAGATGCCAAACACATGCACTGGAAGAGAGTCTCTTTAATAAATCGTGTTGGAAAAACTGGCTTTGCACATGCTGAAGATTAAAAACCAGACCCACAGGGGCTGGGGATTTAGCTCAGCAGCATAAGCGCCTGCCTTGCAAGCAGGCAGTCGTGAGTTCGATTCCCGGTACCGATAAAAAGGAAAAAGACTTAAAAAAAAAAAAAACCAGACCCATATCTTTTACCATATACTAAGTTAAAATCAGAATGCACTAGAAATCTTAATATTAAAACAAAAACATTAAATCTGCTGGATAATAGAATAGGTAAAACTCTTGAAGACTTGGTGTAGACAAAGACCTTATGAATAAAACCCAGAGTGCACAGGACTTACTGCAAAGAATCAACAAATGGGATCTCATCCTACTGAAAAGCTTTTGCACAGCAAAAGAAACCACCAACAGAGTGAAGAGACAACCCATTATGTAGGAGAAAATGTTTGCCAGTTGTTCCTCAGATAAATGATTATTATTATCGAGGATATATAACGAACTCAAAAAAATAAGTCCTCTCAGATTTAAAGGCCCAATCCAAAAATGTGCATCTGAGATGAACACACACTTCTCAGATGAAATACAAACAGCAAATACGTGGAAAAATGTTCAACAGCACTGGTGATTTGAGAAATGTCAATTAAAACAGCTCTGAGAATTTACCTCACCTCAGAAAAAATGGCTAATATTAAGAAGTCAACCAATAACAAATGCTGGAGGGACTGTGGGGAAAAAGGAACCCTTCTTCACTGTTGGTGGGAATGTAGACCGGTGCAACCACTGTGGAAAGCAGTGTGGAGATTCCTCCAAAAGCTAGGAAAGAAGTCCCATTCGATCCAGCGATTGCCCTTCTGGGTATCTTCCCAAAAGAATTAAAAACATAATATCACAGTGATATATGTGCATGTTTATAGCAGCACCATTTATAACAGATTTTGGAAACAACCTAAAAGTCCATCGACTGAGGAATGGATAAACAAGCTGTAGTATTTTTATATATTGGAATACTATTCAGCTATAAAGAATGATAAACTGATAATTTTTATAGGTAAATGGCTGCACCTTGAGAACATACTCACTAGTGAAATAAATATGTCATGCATGTATAAACATCATATTGTTTCATTAGTATGATAAGGAAAAAACATGTGTTTTGTCCCAGAGACAATTATGTCAGCAAGCAATGACTCAGGCCACACCTGCCTTTACTTTAACTAACCCACTGTACACCATTTTGAGGTGACTTTTGGATGTCATAAGAAATTTTTGTTGTGCTACAAGGTTTGGGTTTTTGCATGTGGATATCCAGTTGTTCCAGTGTATTTATTGAGGGTACAATCCTTTATCCACTTCGCTGCTTTCGCATCTTTGCCAGAAATCAATCGTTAGTTATGTGGGTATCTATTTTGAGACTTTATATTGGTACTTTGGTGCTTTCTCTATTCTAATATCAATGCCATTTTATCATGATTAGTGTAACTTTGTGATAAGTCTTAGGATTGACTTATCATGGGAGGGTTGGAGCTCTAATTCTGTTTCATTATCAAAGTTGCTTAGGCTATTCTGAGACTTTTTTTTTTACAGAAATGTAAGAATGTTAATTTTTATGAAAAATCATGTTGGTAGCTTGATAAGGGACTGTTTTCTGATCTTTCTTATTTTCTTCTATTCGTTTGTGGTTTTATTGTCTTTTATTTTTAATTTGCAAGGCAAGATATGAGGATATTTCATAACTTTCTTCTTTTCTAATAAATGTATCAGGTGCTATAAACAAATAAATAAATAATCTGCCTTAGATATTACATTCAAATCTCTAGGCCTAGGGGTAGGTATGCAAAGCCCTCAGTTAGATCCCCAAGACTAGAGGAAAAAGTAACTGAACATCTACAAGTTGTGTATGGTGGCATAGAATATTACCCCAGCACTCAGGAGGCTGAGGCAAAGGATCACAAATTTGGGTCCTGCTCCAACTACCAGGCAAGTTCAAAGCCAGCCTGGGCCACATACTGAGACTTTGTCTAAAAAACTACTATTTTGTATAGTTAAATCAACTCAACATCTTAAAATGTGTAATTAGCCGGGCATGATGGCACACACCTATAATCCCAGCACTTGGAAGGCTGAGGCAGGAGAATCTTTGTGAGTTTCAGACCAGCCTGGTCTACAAAGTGAGCTCAAGGCCAGCCTGAACTGCATAGTGAGACTCTGTCACAAGATTAAAAAAAAAAAAAAAAACAGACATATAATGAATAAAACTGGCTTCCTTGGATAGCAAAAGTGGCTTCCTTCTTCAGAAAATAGCTCAACTGGTCAACCTAATCATAAACCTCAGTTACTACGGGGCTGGGGATTTAGCTCAGCAGCATAAGTGCCTGCCTGACAAGTATGAGGTTGTGAGTTCAATCTCCAGTACCACCAAAAAAAAAAAAAAAACATCTCAGTAACTGCATACCTAAAAACCTATTAAAGTGTTATTTTAGAAGAAATAAAAACAGCTATAATTCAGTTATTTTAATTTTCAATTTCAAACATAAGAAATATTAAAATTTTTAATAACCCACCCCCTCCAAATTTTATAGCCTATCAATGGAAATACAGGATTTTCTTTTAAGAGTATGATAAACAACTAAAATGTGTTTACATACACTGTATGTAGCATCATTCATTAAAATACTACATAGAACTCCGTTCTTTTTTACTTACATCTTTGCTTGGTGACTGAATAAAACTGTTTTTTATTTTGAGTGTTGAATAAAGCACTGATTCTGGAGAATTTGTGACATCAGTGAGACCTAAAACAAAAGCAAGAAATTTTAGACAGTGAATTTAATACAGCATCTGTTGATTACAATTCAAGGTAGCTCTATGAGATACATGAAGAACTCTCTAGTTAGCTGGGTCTGGTAAGACATGCCTATAATCCCAGAATTCTCCAAACCTGGAGGTCAGCCTGGGAAATGTATGCTGTCTCAAAATTTAAAAAGCGCTGGGGTTATAGCTCAGTGATAAAATGCTGACCAAGGGCTTGGTTCAATCTCCAGTACCACAATTAAACCAAAAACAAAGAAACAAACTGACAAAAATCAGAAATCAATATCCAAATGCTCCTGAAAGGTATCAGAACCTGAGAAAAGCTTCTTGACGAAGTATATGCCAACTCTTCTTTCACAGCTTGTACAGAAGAGCTAGTTCTTCACTATGCCAGTCTGTTTTGTGCTGAGAACAAACTGGAGAGTGTAGATCAGTCTTAAGAGTACCTGCCTAACAAGCGTAACAGCTAAGATTCAATACCTGATACCACAGAAAAAACAAACAACAAAAAAAGATACTGAGTGATTTACAAAAAACAGAGAATTATTTCTTACAGTTCTAAAGATAGTGAATGCAAAAGAAGCCTGCACCTAGAAAGGGCCTTCTTTTGCCGTCGCAAGGCAGGATAAGTGTGCCAGGCAGCAAAAACTCACATCTGCAGCCTCGACTTACACTAGCATTAACTTCTTCATGCATGAAGCATCTAGCGACCATATCTCTCAAAAGTCCCACCTCTTCAAATTTCTACAGTACAATGAAACATTAACATACAAAATCTTTCTGCTGTTGTTTTTTCCTTTGAAGCAGGGTCTTGCTATGCAGCCCAGACTGGCCTTGAACTCACGGCAATCCTCCTGCCTCAGCCTTCTGAGGGCAGGGATTAGTGTGTACCACCATCCCTGGTACCTTTCATTGGCCTACTTTCTTATTCTGATACAGATCAGCACTTGAAAAACTATGCCAAAATTTACCACTTCCTTTAAAGGTATGAAAATCATCAAAGATTATCTCAAAATCTAAGGATCCCAAGAACTCTGCATAATTATTTCCAATATAGTGCTTCCCTTATTAAATGCTTGGGTCTAGAAATAATTTAATTTTTTACTTTTTCAGATTTTGGAACATCTGCATATACTTAGTAAGGTATCTCAGGGATGGGTCCTGTCATGGTGTGGGTCTAGGTCTCACCCCAAAGCCTCATGTGGTCATGGGGGCAGGGCTTTTTGGAAATGGCTGAATCTAGAGTTTGTGATTTGCTTGTGGTCCAGTGTGGGACTGGGTGTGCCAGTGCCACACTTGCCCTAGGACAGGCATCCTGTATACAATACAAGACAGGGAAAGACTTCTCTCTCTTCTTGCTGGCTGTTTTTGGTACCTTTGCTGGCAGAAGGGCAGGAACTGCTGCCCTTCTGTCTTAAGACCCAGCTGATTATGGACTGAAACTCCTATTACCTGTGAGCTAAATAAACTTTTCTGCCTTTAAATTTGGGTGTTGGGTGTTTCATCTCAGCAGTGAGAGAAAAGTAACTAAGATTAAGTCTCAAGTCTACACAAAAATTCATCTATATTTCATGTATATTATATATACATATATAGCGTCAAGGTAATTTTATACAATATGTTCAATAAATCTGTACATAAATTAAGATTCTATGGAGCTGGGGATTTAGCTCAGCAGTGTAAGCAACTGCCTGGCAAACACAAGGTTGTGAGTTCAATCCCTGGTACGATGTGGCATATTCTACCTGTCACATTGCATTTCAGATTTTGGAATTTCAAACTATACATCAAATACGCTCTAATACAATTATATATAGACAAATTACAGAGATCTACTGTGAACTGGATGTCAAAGTACTATGATTTTTTTTAAATCAGTATTATCTTTAGTATATAGAAATAATTACCATATTATCAAAATTCCAAAGAAAATGTTTTACCTGTATTTAAATGCTAGAAAGTATTTGCTACATTTGATATTAATGACAAATTTGTATTTTCATTCATTCCAAACCCTCAAAGTCCATCTGGAAATGAAGCCTTACTTTTTTCTTCAAAACAGTTTTGTAAGATTTCCAGCATGTTCTGGCTTTGCTCAGTATTAATGCCAGGTGCCCTTATAAAAAGAAAGGAAAAATATACCATATCATTTCTGCAAGATAATTCTTTCACTTATACTTATGTTCTACTATTTATGTTACCATCTACTTGAAAATCTGTATCTCACTATAAAATGTTATTAGTAAGAATAGTTTCATTATATAAACACCAAACATACTTGAGAACTTAAAGAGTTCCTGCAAAAGAACTCATTCCTTTGTATTATGAAGGAAAATACATCATTACCTACATAAACAATTATATCATATTAACAATGATATTATAGAGTTGAACATACACACTGAAAACTGGTTTGGACTGCTGTTGTTATCTCAATCAGAACATATTTTTTTTTTTTTTTTTTTGGTCTTTTTGAGACAGGGTCTCATTTTACAGTTCATGCTGGCCTTGTACTCACTCTGTAGCCCAAGCTGGTCTCGAACTTGCAAGGATCCTTCTGTCTCAGCCTCCCAGGTACTGGGATTATAGGCATGAGCCACCATGCCCGGCAAACAGAAACTTTTTTGAATGAGTACAATTAATTGGTCCTGAAATGTTAATGTTAATGTCTTTCTGTTTCTCTTTCTCTGAGTAATGTTCTGTGCTATGTGCGTTGCATAACATTTAACTACTTACCTGAAAGACAGAATTTCAGTCACAATAAAATTCTCACATGCACCCCGATCAAGGATGGGAAATTTTTGCTCAAAGGGTCAGACAATTAATATTTTAGACCTGCATACCATCTAGTCTATCACAACTACTTAACTGTGACATTCTATCTCAACAGAAATCAAAGACAGTATGTAAGCAAATGGACATGGCTATGTTTCAGTACTGGAATACCCGCTACAAAACATGTCACCACAAAAAAAAAAAAAAAAAAAAAAAAAAACAAGAACATGTCACCACCAAAAAAAAAGTCACCAAGCCAGGAATTTAGCTCAGTGAGCCTAAGTACTTGCCAGGCAAGTATGAGGTCATGTGTTTGATTTCTAGCCAAAAAAAAAAAAACCCTATGTCACCAGTCTGTGGGTTACAGTTCACAGACTTCCTCACCTACAACAGTCCTATTATACTTCAGTTATAAAAGTAATGCATATGAAGTAACTCAAGGTGTTCCTTAGTATCCACAACACATAAATCTGTTAATTTTTTCATTTGACTGTATATATAAGTCAATCCTGTTATTTTATTACTATAAAATATCCAATTAGACATTTTAATTGTACAGATTTTCCAAGTAAAAAAAGGGCCAAATGACCCAAATAAGCACCCAGCAAATGCATAACAGCAGGTATTATATTTTTCTTTTTCCCTATTAAAATAAACCATCTTTCTAACATTGCCATTCAATCCCATTCTACAGTACATTTTTCCTATGACTGTCATTTGGTTAGAATGAGTGCTTCTATTCTACCATTTTATCATTGAATTTCTTTTCTCACTTCACTAAGTCAATACTTTTTAACATTTCTCTTAGTATAAAGTAAGTAAATTAATTATTCTTAGTGGGCAGACATCATTATTTTTCTCAAAGGTGAAAATTTCTGCTTCCTTCACTCAAAAATTCACTTTCTGAAGATGAAAATAAGTTATCTTTACTATAAAATCACCTGGAAGGCCGGCAAAATCTTCTTCGGTAGTCATTTTTGAGATGATCCTAAAAAAAAAATTTAAACATTTATTTAAAATATAATAAAATACAACTTATCTCCAATGTAATTTCATTCTAACATGGGAATGACAAAACTTCTTAAGTATCTTTTAATCACCCGCTATTATACTATAAAAAAGAATTCTGAATCAAGTGCAAAAGAAATGTGCCTCATATGCAATATTTCCAAACCTTTCTTGTACTAGTCCTTACCCCTTCCCTCAAGCTGATCTTATATTATATTATATTATTCTTCCACCTGCCCTACCCACTACCATACTTTTACATCTATCTTCGCTTCCAATCATTCAAGATGGTTAACTAATAATATCTACTTACATCCTTTCCTCATAGAAACAGTCCACTAAAATAGCCATAAAGAACAAGCACTATAAAACAACAATAAAAAAATTGAAGAGATGATCATATGTAAACAAATTTAACAAATTTCCAAAAGATGGAAAACAGATGAACAGTGATAAGTGAGAAAACAGAATGAAAGCAGTAGTGATCTAACAGTAACAAAAGCTCAGAGGCAACTCCTCAATGAGGCATTAGGCAACTTATTTTCCAGGGGAAGTCATCAAGATACAGAACTGGGAAACTCAAGATCTAAAGGATACAGAGTGAGACAAGGGAATGAAACCTATGGAAAGAGACCAGGCTTGTTTTATTCTTATAAATACAGACCTCCCAATTAGTGCTTATTGTCCATCTCAAATATGACCAATATCTGAAGGAATCACTAAACACTTGAATCTCTACAACAGAAGACAAAAAAAAAAAAACTAATGTCAAGAGTAGAAAGAAAATTCCAAAAATAAGAATTATTTAAGAAATATTATTTCTTAACATAAGAAATAATATTACTTAACATAAGAAATATTACTTTCAAGAAATAACTGAAGTACTAGACTTTTTAAAACTGTATACTATCTACACTGAATGGAGAACAAAAAAAATTAATGAAAAACATGATTGCCTAAAATAAAGCTGAGGTGTTTCTTAAATAAAAATGAGAAAAATGGAAGAGTAAGATGAGGAAAATATAACCATCAAGAGCTCCAACCTCTGATCACAATTACTCCAGACAAAACAAAGAGGAAAGATATACATATATATATATATATATATATATATATATGTATATATATATACATACATATACATATCCTAAGGATAATGTATCAGTACAATCAAATTTCCCAAATCTGTAAGACATAAAGAGCCAGAGTAATGAATTAGAGAACCATAGGTAGGAATGTAAGAGTGAAACTGCAAGAAAAATTGAGAGTAAAAAATCTAAAATGCTTCTGGAAAATCTATTCCCAGCAATAAGGCAGGAAATGGGAGTAACAGTAAAAATAAAACACACAGAAATGCTGATACTTAAGTCAAGATAATATTTGAGAAACTTTGGGTCTGACTTTTTGTTTTTGATTTTCTTTTGAGGGGCAGAGAGCAGCACTGGCTATTGAGCCCAAGGTCTTCGTAGTAAGACTCTTTTATTTTTTGAGACAGGTTCTTGCTAAATTGCCTGAGCAGGAAAAACTTGCAATCCTTGAGCTTCAGCCTCACAAGTGCTAATATTACAGATATGTCCCACTGTGACTACCTGGCTCAATCTTTTAATTATAAAAACTATAAAAGAAATTTTCTAGTTGAAGATCAGGTAGTAACAAAATAACGCTCTTAACAATGAAAACAATGAAGTGTTTATTAAGCCCTATTTTTAATGATACAATTATTTGAGATATAATTGTGCATACGTGAAATAACAAACAAAATACACTATTTGGTCTAGGCTCATCTTCTATTTTTCCTGCCCCAACCCTTTTTGGTAGAGAATAGTCTTCAGAAACCATGAACTAGGTGGCATGTATATTCACTGCTTCAAGGAAGCTGCTGTCCGCTCTCCAGACTTTCAGTGGACAAATGAGAGAACACATTATAAACATCATCACCATTAAACTTTTATTTCCCTGCATCTGTCTATCAATATTGGAAACCTACAATTGACAGACCTGTATTGTACACTATTTTCTTTGAGGAAGATAATCTTACAGTGAATAGAGATACTTATAATTCCAATTGAAACCTATTTTCGTCTTTGCTGTACTTATAACTTATTCTCCAACAATTTCTGTACTTAGAACTTTCTCCTCCATGAAAACTGACTTTCAACACTGATACTTTTAAGCATTCTGCAGGTGCATCAACATTTACAGTTTTTAACGCCCATGACACTCTTCTTACTCTGCTTGGTCTCAAATTTCCCAAACCCCTATCCAAAAGCTCTACCATCTGGTTTCAGTTACCCTTCCCACAGAGACTCTGACATCTTGTACCAAGTCACTATCCTGTGAAGACAGCAGGCTAACTCAACATGTTCCTTCTACCATGGGTGCCCTTTTCACCTCACACCACCATGCCTCTTCACAGTAGACTGTTAAGAGTTCACCCAAAAACTTCCTAAGTGGTTGTATCCCCCCTTTCCATCTTAGAACTGATGGACACCAACTTCACCGAACTCATGCTTTGGCATATTTAAGCATCTACTAGGACGCCAAATGGCACTTAGCCACATTGGAAAGCAGGTGGTGAACAAATGAGGTCCCCAACTCTAAGCTTAAAAGGACATTACGAACGTTTAACCTTCAAAATAAACACTGCCAGCTTTGACTTCAATTGGCTTTAGTCTGCACTTCTTCCATTCATTGTGAGACTATCTTCCTCAAAGAAAACATTGTACAACAGAGATTTGTCAACCCCCAAAATTCACTGTCATTTTCGGGTGGACGATTCCTCGCGGTGGCCCGATTCCTGACCGTACTGTGCCCTGAGAATTCTTACCAACATCACCGGCTCCCCATTAGCTGGCCTGCAGCGCTATCAGCCTCCCCATATACCTCAACTCCCGCCTTGCAAAACAAATTTCTGCAGACCTCACTAAAAAGGTCCTAGGGACACAATTCACACACACACCCTTGAAAACCACTCAAGTACAGGAATGGCTAAGGTTATCTCCCCACTCCTCTTCCCCCTTTTAAATGGGCATCTTGAAACAGTTCAGAGATTACAACACGAATTTAAAAACTTAACTGCAGAAATTTGGTAAATTTTAGTCTCCTTTAGGCCGAACATAATGGTTACTGTTTTTTGTGATTATGTAAAATGGAAACAATGTTCGTGTCCTTTGTACAGATCACAAATTTTACTATCCTTTCACGTATACAGTACAGTATACAGTATACAGTACAGAACACAGAACACATAACTTTACACAGTGAGAGATCGTCGAGGCTTTTTTCTTAAAAGAAGAGTGAAATGAGCAAACACAAACTGAAGAGAGGGAAAGACGCGGGTTTCGTAGTCATAGTAACCACAGCTAAGTTTTGAAGTCAGAGAGGCGGACCTCGAGCCGTGTCAGTCTCCCGCAGCCCGCACCTCTGAACTTACAGGCGCCTTCCCAGGACGAATCAAGGGGCGCTGCCGGAAACACTACACCCCAAAATGCGAATAAGGCTCGACTTCTCCACAAGACAACTGACAACGTCACAGTTTTTCAAGACACACTTGGCACACGACGGAGCCGGTTTCTCCAGACCAGCAGGACAGGATCAAAAGTGCATTTCTGCTACGGGTGGAAAGGACCTGGGCGCCGGCCGGAGGGCACAGCGAGGCTCTTCCAACTAGGAGACTCGCGGTTCCGCCGGGCCCAGCCAGGCCCGGCCCGGCCGCCTCCCGTCCCGCCCTCAGCAGCGCTTACCAGACCCGACACCGCCATGTTCCGGGCCCGCTCGGCTTCGTCAGGCGGACAAGACGAAGCTCAAGCCGGCGATGGCGCGAGGAGGCCGAGCACCGAAGGAGCCACCAGGCTAGCAGCAGACGGTGGCCCAGAAAAGCCCGGGAGAGGACCAGCAACCGGCGCCAGGGGCCCGAGCCGCCAAGGGCGCGCTTCAGAAGACCCCGCCCATGAGCCCCACCCGCTACACGTTAAGCCACCCGCGCACTCCAGGGTTTGAAACAGGCTACGCATGCGCAACACGGACCGCGCCGCCCAATAGGAAGGCAGCCGTTAGGCACGCCCCTTCCGCCAGCTCTCAGCTCGCTTCCGCCAGAGTCATTTTGGGGCGGCGATCTGAGGCTTTGACTTAAAGGTGTTATCTTGGAAGCCTGTCTGAGTTTCAAGATCAGCGTAAAATTTCTCAGCCGGACAATTATGGAACAGTAAGCAATGCTTGGAAGGATCAGGGGTCAAAGTTGCAGTAGACGATTTAAATTGAGCAGAGACTTCGTTCTTATTCTAGTGACTGGTACATTGCCTGCGAAATGGTCTGTGCAAAAAGGTACCACTGAAGTATAACTTCTGAGATTTCCGCGGTGCCGCCTGGTCCAGTAGCCGCGGGCGGCAGTCCTCTTCTAAATCTGTAGCAGGCGCGATCAGAAATACAGTAAATGCACCCACTGAGCGCTGCACGGCGGAAAAGCAGGCTCCTGCCAGCTTCGCAACTTCTGGCTCTTCCCCAACGGCAAAGTGGCCGTGGGGCGAAACACTTCAATGACTCAGGACACTGAGGCAGCCGGGACCAAAGATGCGCTGGAGCTGCAGTTCCTCCAGGCTCCTCCATTGTCCTCACTGGGCAACATCGAGGTTCATCTGCCGAGGGCCATGGGTATCACTGCAGTGTGTGAGCAGCATATCCCCGGCGGGACTAGGAGTGCATCCACAGTAGTTCAGGGTACGGGCAAGGTCTGGAGAGACAGCTTTTCAAGCTTAAGCCAATGGATGTAAAGTAACTTTAAAGGTCCCTGATTTGAAAAACACCAATCCTCAAAAAACAATGTAAATTTGGTCTGACAATTCATCATGAATTTATACAAATAATTAGAAGTACTAGAAGAAATTGAAATCAGAATATGTCATAACTGTCACATATTCTTTAAATTGTGATTCCAAACAAGTATTTGGTGATAGTACCTGTAGTTCCGAGATAGTTAGTGCTTGTCCAGCATGCGTGAGGCCCAAGAAAGGAAAGAATTGTGCACTTGACTAGCTGTGTCATTAAGGGCAACATTGTGGCACTTTTCTGAATGTTTCTGTAATGATACAATAGAAATTCAAATTAGGTGCTCTGAATATTTCATACCGTACTTGTGTGTAACTCTGAACCTATGATTTGTTTTATGATTTAACCAAAAGTTGTAAGAAAAGTGAAAAAATAGATTACTTATGGAATAAATTTGCTAATCGAGATTTGAGCACATAATTTTAAAAGTTGTTTTAACGGGTAGGGATTTAGCTCAGTGGCAAAAGCACCTGCCTGGCAAGTGCATGTTCCTAAATTCAACCCCCGGTACCAAAAAAAAAAAAAAAAAGATTTCTTTTTTTAAAAAGTTGTGTTAACAAATGCTGTCTCCCATTAAAACCAATTTTTAATTTATTGAACTTTTTTTTGATAGAGAAGAGACAACTCGGACGTAGACCTAAGTTGCTCTGTGTGACACTAAATTTACTGTTATTGGCCATTAAATTAAATTATCTGTTACTCTTTGCCTGTAAAATGGAAGTAACATTAAAATTGTTGAGATGTTGTGACTAAATTCCTTTTAAAATCTAATCACAGTGCTGGCAACATAGGATCATTCATAAAAATACTAGTTTTTTTTACTGTACTGTACTATACAGTTTTCCATCTACATACGATTCCATCTACATCTATATACGATTTAGTGTTGTCACACTAGGAATTCATAATAAACTAAAATATATTGCATGCATGCTCAGCAGCTCTGGAACTGAAACTTACATAACTTGCCCAAGATCACACCACCACTAAATGGCAGAGCTGGGTATTAGCTCAGGAATTCTAAGTGGAACTCTAGGGAAATTTTTTAATATGCACAAGCTTAGATGTAAAGTCTTATGTGTAAAATTATGAGGCTAGAATTATGTTTTAGTTTCCGCTGTTCCAGTCCTATTACTTATAGATTTGTTTTTGTAAGTCTCCCTAAATGCTTATGAAAATACATCTGTACTATGACAAATGTTTGTATCAGTCTATGAAAGTGTATGTAATTAGATGTATAAATTGGTCCAATAAAAGTATCCAAAAATTTAGGTGAATGGAAAATGAAAACTTTTGCTTACAATTTTAGATGATTTCAAATTTATAAATGTCAAAACTATTTCAAAGAATTGTTTAATTTGGACTTTTCCATCAGATAATTATGGTATGGGTATTTATCAAAGTCTCTTTGTTTATAAGGCTTCACGAAGAAATGGAAGACATATCACATAAATATTCACAAGTGAACTAAGTAAGCACTTAAAAATTGTTCCCTGAGTTTAATTTTCAGTACCAACAAAAAAAAAAAAAAAAAAAAGAGAAAGAGTCCATATTCAGCCAAGGATGGTGTCACACACCTATAATTCCACTACTCAATGAGGCAGAGGCAGGAAGATTGCAAGTCTGAGCACAGCCTTGGTAATTTAGCAACTCACTGAGTCTGTTTCCAAAAATAATAAAACAGGGCTAGGGATGTAGCTCTGGTTCATTCCCAGAACCAAAATATCCCTATGGCATAGTTTAGCATAAGCATCTAACCTGAGAAGTGAGTAAACAAACTGAATTACTTTGAAATAGTGGATACTCCTCAGCAATAAAAACACTTGTCAGAAATACAACAATATGGATGATTCTCAAAGGCATTTTACTAACTGAAAGAAGTCAAATATAAAGGATTATATGGAGAAAAAATTGGATCACTTCAATAATGAGGCTATAAAGGCACACAAGTAAACTTTTTCCAGTGACAGAAATATTTCATGATTTAACGTGTTGCATGACTATATATTTCTCAAAACTCTTAGAACTGTTTCTAAAAATAGATTTGCAGTTTTACCACAATAAACGTGTGTGTGAGAGAAGCAAATACACTATGTAAAATCCAAATGTACCTTGTAAATCTTGATTAGAGTGTGATTCAAAAAAACAGCATAATAAAATAACTACAATAAAATACTAATTGATTATCAAATAACATTAGGGAATTACTGAGGTCTGCCTACACCCCCAGTCTCCCAAAGGAGTGCATGATAGAGGCCCAAATGAATGAGACAAGTGGTATGATCTTTAGGGATCCAGGAAGACCAAACCCTCTGCTGAGTTCTTAACTCTGGTGGCTGAGACAGTGTCTCTGGGAGGCCAGTAACAAAGAGGTTAGGGTTAGGACCCCTCCAAGCAACAGATGATGCTGATTAAAAAGAACTGTCCTAGGAGAAAGTCCCCAGGTGTCTTCAGCTGTGGCCTGTCTTGTCCCCTGAGGCATCTCCTCGTTCTCAGTTCAGCCATGCCTAGGCTGTGCCACAGCCCTGCACGTTAATCAGCTTCAATGACTCCAACAGGGAGTTACAACTTTTCTTAGGTATCATGTAGAATTTATGTAATGAGGAGGCAACATTAATAAAATTGCTAAATTCCATTCAAATATGCAATAAAACTTATTCTGCAAAAATCAGAAGTGAAGGGGCTGGGGATTTAGCTCAGGGGCATAAGCGCCTGCCTTGCAAGCACACAGTCCTGAGTTCGATCTCCGGTATCAAAAAAAAAATCAAAAGTGAAAACACTGGACTGGGAATGTAATTCAGTGGAAGAGCACCTTCCTAACATGTGTGAAGCTTTGTGTCCAATTCTTAGCATTCAAAAAAGCATCAGAAAATGTTAAATTACTGCCATGTAATTTTATTAAAAATTACTATTGTGGTTTAGCTTTTCTTTCTTTTGGTACTGGCATTCGAACTCAACCTCATGCTTGCTAGGCAGGTACTGTGCCACTGCATTGTATCCACAGGCCATGGTTTAGATCTTAAATGTCCCCCAAAAGCTAATGTTTTGAAGCACATAGCACTTCAGGAGTTGGTACCTACTTCCTCCAGTTAAAGGAGACAGTTAATTGGCTGTAAGAAGTATTTTGAGAAGTCTCAGTGAGCTGAATAACTTGGTTTTGTCCTGTGCTCCTGGTGTGACATCCTGCTTTGTCAGAGGCTCAAAGTCAATGGGGCCAAGTAACCATAAAGTGAAGCCTCTGAAGCCATGAGCCAATATAAACTTTTGTTCTCTATAAGTTGCTTCTCTTAGGTATTGTATCACAGTGACAGAAAACAAGTGCAATTATATGCCAAAATGAATTTGTTGTAAAAGTTGTAGCAGTTGCAATTTAGCTGACATAAATTTACTTTTATAATCTTGGCTTTTATTTTCTGCTAAACATTTTAGTTGACTTTATTTCTCTTTACTGCCAAATTCTGTTGGTGCTGTTAAGTCAATTTATGCTCACCTTTCTAACAAAATTATCTTCTGAAAGACAGTCCTTGGCAGTTACAAAGTTAACACCATCTCCTTGCAATGTACAGATAGGTGGCAGCAATGTTCACAAAAACAGTTTTACTAGTCAATAAGTTATTAAGATCCACAATAAGTCCTTAATTGCAATATGTTATGTAAATTAAATGACCTTCAGACTTTCTAAATTACATTTGTGTCAACCATTTGATTCTAGATTGCATTGTCTTCTATTATGAACACATTGTTTCTCTTCCCTTAAGAACACACAACACACCATTCTATTAAACCTGCATTCTGTCTCCTATAGTTTACCCATAGTCTACAGATCTTATAAAAATAAAATTTTGTCATCAAAAACATTTTAAGGGCCAGGATTTAGCTCGGTAGGCCTAAGTGCCTGCCTGGCAAGTGTGAGGTGAGTTTAATCCCCAGTACCAAAAAAAAAAAAAAAAAAAAAGTTTTTAGAAGTTGAGGTCAACAGGTCATGCCTGTAACACGGCTGTTGAGAGGCTGATGCAGGAAGAGTCCCTAATATGGGGACTCATAGGTTAGGGTCAGCCTTGACTACTTGAGAGAGCTCAAGACCAACCTGAAATATATTGTGAGATCCTGTCTCAGAAACTTAAAAGTTGTTTTCTTAAATCTT